GTAACTGAGGAGCTCTCCTGAAATTTATGGTACCATTAAATCTTACAGCTATGACAATCTTCAAGTTCTCTCCGGGAACAGCATGCTTCAAAATTTGAAACAGGCTATGCCCCATGAGTCGGAGGATTGTCCTGTAAAATTGCTCTATTTTATTGGCAGTGGCGAATGCCATTGATTCCGGAGGTGCGGTTTACGTGGTTTGCGATCCCCTTAATCTTGATGAATTTCTTTACTGATCGTCATATTTAAGATTCTAAATTTTTAATGACACTCCAAACCATCAGACGTCCACAGTTACTGAAAGTCTGGATTAAGTTATAATGTGGTTGAGGCACGGTTTTTATACGTAATGACATAGGATTATTTTACTAATTCGTCATAAGGGAAACCCATTGATGTGAAAAAAAGACTTCCGAAACGCAGACTTGCGATAGCTAAAGGTCTGAGAACAAAGCCTTTATGCTGAAGGTGCCCTGCTATGTCTAATATAAACTCCCAAATAGTATTAAAAAGGACAGACGGTTTCAAGCAGGTTTACCAAATAGGAACTAGATTCTCAACTTATTCTCAGGTGACTCCAGTCACCGTCTCTGCTCCTGAGCACATGGTGGATTTTATCTAAATCAATGGTTGAACTATCAATATCAGGGAATAATACCCTTTTCTGTTTGAAACCCAGCCAGGAATATTTTTCTGAGAAAAATATAATTCGTGGGCCTCAGGTTTTAATGTATAACTAAACTAATTGTCTCTATAATTTACCTGTTAATTTCTACACATGTCCCTACCTACTGAAAATCATGGATTAACAGAAGACCGACTTGAATAATCCTCCAATTAACTTACTTTCATCTACATTTTGTACATGGCAGTAAAAAAGGGTCCCCATGTTATACTTTAGAGAATTTTCCCCTCGTCTAATTGTCACCTAATTATGAAAAGTATAAGCAAAATATTTCTCCAATAATGACTTTTGCATTGACTACATAAAGGAATAATGCTTAAGGCTGTCATATTTAAAGTTTTAATGGAGGTAAGCATCAGAAATGGAGGTTTCTGTCCGCGGGGTCTGCATGACAAAACGATAACAATTAGAATGTCCAGATCAACTTTCTAATCGAACGTGAGATGGTCTCTGTCAAAATATCTACATCAAATTTGCACCTTACTGTCTGAGGATATTACAAGACTGTACTTTTCAAAACTGGGGTGTATAGCAGAAAGCTCACTGGGAACCCTGGGGGCACTGATGTTCCGAATCCTTCTTCGCTGTCATTCAGCGGAAAGAAATCAGCCCAAGATCCGTGTCCGGGCTCTTAGCTAGTAGCTATACGGTGCATCATGCTATACTGTTATTTATTATCTTTTAGGAAATGACAAAAGACATTCAGTCAGCTGCACAGATCAAGCGAGACCCAACCTAGAACTATATTTTTGAAAGTAACGAAGTAAAACCACTAATGGCGTGACTGCCTGTTAATAGCAGTCCAGCAATGATGTGAGAAAAAAACAGTGCCTGTGTGCTTATGCTAGATTAAATGTTACTTTATTTTCGATTTTAATATGTTAGCGTTCAAAACTATGTAAAAAATCGCTAAAACGTTTGCTGGTCCAGCGAAAAGAATAAAAACGCATTTTTGTCATGGACTGAAGGCAGCAGTGTGTTTTAAGACGACGCCATCGAAACATAGCCAACGTTAACGTAGCATCTTAACACAGCGCAAGAACAGTTTTATCAAAAACAAATGGATATTAGAATATCGGCAATAATCATACCCGGCAAGAGAAATATAAATTAATCTTATTAACCTTCATGGTCTTTGTGAATAAAGAAAATTGCGAGCAAAAACGCGTTATGTTGAAATAATACTAAGTGCTCGTTTATGGAAATAACCCAAACACCACTTGTTCGTCCGCTGAATTAAATTGTAGAATTTTAAAACTTGTCTGGTCGGCCGTTCAATCACTCATCCGAATTACTGCAATTGCCATGCGCAGTTGCGAAACCAGATAGTACTATGCTTTTTTTTGTAGGAGAGTAACGTTTTACTGCAATTTGCAAATTTACTGACTCACAGTACACTTAGGCGGAGAGAGCGAGAGAAATGGGAGTTTACATAGAGCTCTGGGCCTGATTCTTAGCATGGGAAAGGCATTTTCATCTGCGGTGGGTCGACCCAGTTTGGCATTGCACACGGCCAGAAACTCACATACACAGTGCTGAATTGGAACAAATGAAAGGTAAAAACCAACCAGCTTGCTATAGAGCTGGCGCGTGAGCAGTTTGCAGGTATGTTGTTTTGAACAGCTAAATAGATTTGAAACAAGTCGGTAGCGTGCATTTCTGTTGCCTATATACAAGTGAATGCAAAAATTTCGGACCCAGTTTTCCACGTGAAACTGAAAGTCCGGGATCACTCAGACTGGTTGAGTGCACCAACGAAATTAACTTCTGACCCATACACCAGCACATTTGAGGCAAAACGTATTACAGTTGACCCTGCGCTTGCTTACTGCCGTGTTATAGCCCTAACACTGGCTCTAAAGCAACTGTCAGGCGCAACGCTAATCTTGGCTCTAACCTTAGCCATAAACTGAACCTCAACCATAAGTCAAATTTTCCTGACATTCAGGGCAAAGCCAGCTGAATTATGAAGTGAGGGAGAGCGGGTTTCTGTTTGCGTGTCTTGCCGGTGGTGGGGGCTGGGGAGGACCATATAAGCGGTTGTCGCGAAAACACGTTCTTCCAAAAAAATGGGAACATACTTTTGAGGACAGTCCGGAAAGCTGGAGTGATAAGACGGCCTCTCTGGCCAACTGGCTAGTAGCGTCTTTTGAAAGATAAACTACGGGAATTAGGGCGTGCAGTAGGTCACAGAGGAAACCCAATCAGGCGGACCACGATGAAGAGTTGATGCCAGTACAAGGTTACGGAAATACTGATAAAGGCAGACAAGAAGCCTATTAGAAAGACACCCTTAAGAAAAGGGAAAATATCGCTGGCTTTTTTTTATTTCAAAAAGTACGCTGCTAGTATTTAGTTTCGTAACTATAAATGGCGGAATTATATTGAAACTTACAAAACCGGACACGGGAACAAGAACCGTCCACAATATGTGTGGCTTTGCGTCAATTTCCAGTAAATTAGATTCAGGATTAAGGTGAGGGTTAGATTTAAAGTTCAGATTATGTTTAAGTTTCGAGTTGAGGTCATAGTAAGGACTAGGGCCGGGTTCGGCAACCCATGGCTCGCGAGCCAGGTGGGTCTCTTTTTATGATTAAGTCTGGCTCTCTCGGATAAAATGTAAATTAGAAATTTCAGATTTTGTGATTTCGGTTCCTCCAATGACGTGCCACCGCCGAAACATGTATTAGAATCAATTTACTTTTGACCAATCCCTGGCGTTTCGCCCCCCTAGGTTTGACGTTGCTGTTGTTTCAGTGTTTCATTTCCGGCTAGCCGACAGCAGCTGCTTCCCTTTTCTCCCGCGTCCCAACGGCCACGACAAACTCGCTAAATAACAGACGCTCTACTGAAACACGACAGCCCCTAGAATCGACCTTAGCTTATTAAAAGTCACGCTGTCAGACAAGGCTATCTTACACGCATAGGCCAACCTGCCTTGTCCTATAGTCCCTTGTGTTATTGTCCCTCAGACGGACGTATTTATCACAAGCAAACAAACAGTCCATTCGCGGACACTTGCCTTGTGTACTAATAAATCACCCCTAACATCTAACTGTTTTCTTCCATTAGACGGAATACTCCTAGTCTAGTGGTTATAGTAGATCGCACATCCTTGACCGCTACACGCTCTCTGTCTCATGT